AGTCAGGTAGGCTGTTTTTTTAAGAGTAGTATCTTTTTTTGCTTTTTAGATGTGGATGATTAAAGGATGACATCATTCTAACATCGCCTAAGAGATCAAAATACTCGATATAGCCTGCATTTCGGTAGAGCTCACTGAGTGTGTCCATTTCCTAGCTAAGGAACACTAAGGCTATGGGCTTATTTATCTCAGGGTGGTTGTGCTTCCTTTCAGGAACCTTGGTAAATGATATAAGCATTAAGAGAGAGCTACAGTAAAGCTCTCCCCACGGCAAAGTATTAGTGTATTCTACTTGGTGACACATTACACTTATTCAGAGAGACTTTTCGTCTGATCATGCCACCTAAGTTTTCTTGAAAAACTTTTTTGTATAGCTGTGACGTTTGACCAGAGTAAGCGTCAAACTCCCGTGTCTCTTTTGTCCGGGCAGATTGTGAACACTTGGCATTCGGTTCGTACTGATTTGCTGTTTGAAAATAGTTGAGTGTCCTGTTTTTCTCTGTAATAAGGCAAATATTGCCACTACAGCAACACTTAAGGTGGAATGAAAAGCTTCTTCTAGTTAGATTGATGCACTTGAAGGTGGTTCATCCAAAGTATTACTTTACCGGCTTTCTGAGTGATAAAGATTTATGTACTTGGTTCTTTATGTGAAGTCAGCCATCCAAAAAGTTCAGCTCTTCACACATATCACATTTATATATATGTCCAGGAGGTACATCACTAATTCTGCATCCAACTTCATCCTTTTCCAGTATTGAGTCTTGTTTTAACGCATTCTTGTCATTAAGTGTTTTGGCTGCACCGTGCGTTGTGATAAAACAACCAGTAAAAGAGATAAATGAACTTATGCAGCTTTAAAGTTATAAAGAGTGGTGCTGGTTAAAGGGCTCCAGCTCTGGAAGCCCAGGCCTGGCGACGCCCCTGCTTCTCACTCAAGGTTGGGACTAGTGAGGCGTACAGTGTGATGCTTTCATGCTTGTTTCTTCTGAGTGGGTAATGGTCTGTGAATGAGTTCAGTTTTGCTTCATTTGCAGTTTCCATACGTCCTCTTACTTTAATGTGGGCGGCTATTGGCCAAACACTTTGACAACTTTTCCAAAGTCTGCATTTGCGGCCTCTGCCAACAACCGTTTGGGTTACATTAACGGCAATTTGACAGGGAGGCAGGTTTTCTGATGCCCTGCCGAGATTCATTTTGGTGTAGATCAGATATGGAGACCCAATTTGAAATTCATGTTTGCGAGTTGTGTGAAAAGGGATGTGGCATGCTGGGAAAAAATGAGTCTGCACTCACTTGATCAAGAAGCACAATCTGGTTCCTTTTAGTTTGTCAAAGGCGTTTCTGTTCTAGTGCTATGGACCTTTCTACTAAAACAGGGCTGTATTTAAAAATAATTATCATAATATCATTACATCGAAGCCCGCTTTGCTCCCTTTAGCTTATATCTGGTTTAAGAATGAACTGATACTAATTATTTAAAAATCTCATATTGAAGGATGTTCAATAACAATAAGAAACTCAACTCAAAGTCAAAGTCTTTTATTTATTTATTATCTGTACAATATGCTGAGGACATCTGCCTATTTGCTTGTGATGAGGCTCAGATAATTACTTTCTCCAGCTTACAGCACAATATGTACATGAAAGAAGATGACAATATACAAAACACTGTATACATAGACATATAAAAATACAACACATCTGGTTAATAAATAAGAATATGTGCAGGTTCATTGTGAGTACTATGTAATATGACTAAATACACGTGCAAAACTAGAGCTACTGCAGCAGATCTGTAAATCTGAAAACTCGCCCAGTTTCCCAAGAGTTTGGAGTGAAGAGTGACTGTTCCTCATTTCTCACACTGAAGACAGAAGAGGAGACGAGGAAGATCTCAGTTACTGTGAGGAAGAGCGCAGAACCGCACTAGAACAGAGACTCTACAGAAGAGGAGACGAGGAAGATCTCAGTTACTGTGAGGAAGAGCGCAGAACCGCACTAGAACAGAGACTCTACAGAAGAGGAGACGAGGAAGATCTCAGTTACTGTGAGGAAGAGCGCAGAACCGCACTAGAACAGAGACTCTACAGAAGAGGAGACGAGGAAGATCTCAGTTACTGTGAGGAAGAGCGCAGAACCGCACCAGAACAGAGACTCTACAGAAGAGGAGACGAGGAAGATCTCAGTTAATGTGAGGAAGAGCGCAGAACCGCACTAGAACAGAGACTCTACAGAAGAGGAGACGAGGAAGATCTCAGTTACTGTGAGGAAGAGCGCAGAACCGCACTAGAACAGAGACTCTACAGAAGAGGAGACGAGGAAGATCTCAGTTAATGTGAGGAAGAGCGCAGAACCGCACTAGAACAGAGACTCTACAGAAGAGGAGACGAGGAAGATCTCAGTTACTGTGAGGAAGAGCGCAGAACCGCACTAGAACAGAGACTTTACAGAAGAACAGCTGATAAACAGACATTTACTGACACTGAAGCATCAGCGCCACTATGGAGAGAGAGTTAGCAGCCAACATGGGACCCCTGGATACCAGGGGGGGTTTCACACACTGCTTAAAGTGTTACCTCTTATTTAATATTATTTGTCAAAATATATAAAATTAAATTAAATAATTATCCTGTTCTTTATCAGTTCTCTTTCATTACTGGGAAGATAATCACTTTTCAAGGACTGTCATTGGGCTGCTTGCTTAAAAAATTAGCCTAGAAAACGTTCTAGTAAATCCTGTCACGACACTGACGCTGCTTACTTCCTTTTTTATGTACTTTGGTGTCTTTTTTGTTTGTAAAGCAACCCATTAGTTTTAATTAACTGTTCTTCTGGGCTTCTATTGACCAAAACAGTGTTTTCACCACTCTGTCTCTCCGCGTTTACCTAGAATAGCTCTGCAGGAATTACTTAATAATTTATGGCTCCCTTAAGATGTGAATATAATTACAGCCTCCTCTCGGCCGTACACTCTGGCCATTACACTCCCGACAGTGATCACTCGTCAGAAAGCCCTGTGTGTGTAAGGGGAGGGCACGGCGTTCACCGAGACTGGCAGGGTGAGATACTGCGAGGGAGTTGACAATAACTCACATCTTTCTTTGAGGAGAGAGCAGCGGGTGGATCACCTTCCTTCTCTCCTCGTGGTAGTGCAGCAATTCTCCTCCGTAAAAGCAGGCAGCTGTGTGCATTATTTATCTCTGCAGCACCTGGATCCCTCGCTCCCTCCACCCCCCACCGAGCAGGTAGAGAAGAAAACAGCTGAGCACTGTCGGCGGCTCTGGTGTACTCAGCAAATGACGTTCTCCCTTTTCCCTTCACAAGTGCACGTTGTGAATACAGTCTAATTTAAATGAGCTGCAACACGAGAGGAAAAACGACTGCATGCGCAAATGATCCAGCTTTGAGTAGCTCAGATTCAGATGAGAATAGAGAGTAACATAAATTAGGATTCTACTGACTATCAGGGCTTTTGGGAGGTCATTGCAAAAACATGCACATTTCTGAGTTTAACAAAAGGCACTCAAACGGCTGAGACATTTGTAAATACAAGTGCTAAACTCAGGTCTACCAAGTTATCCATTCCTGTATCAATACATGTGCAAATGCAGTGACTATTAGTGATAGGCCTTCAGGTCGGGCCATGAATGTGAATGTAGTCAAAAACCAAAGCCAAAAACAGTACAGTAATGCTGATTTCTGCTAGCACCCCATACAATATGTTAGTGCTAAGCTAACAATGTTGCTGGCCATTCTAAATTAAACATTTAACGCTTGATATACACACACACACACACACACACACACACACACACATATATATATATATATATATATATATATATAAAATGGTGCCTTTGCAGATGAGCACGTCACCCATGCCATGTGCACTAATGTCCATGATTTCCAAAAAGAATTTCTAATGTTGATTCATCCACAGGACACTTTTCCGCTTCCCCCTCAGTCGATTTTAAATGAGCTCAGGCCCAGAGAAGGTGGCAGCATTTCTGGATCCTGTTCATATATGATTTCTTCTTTATGTCTTAGAGTTTTAACTTGCATTTGTGGATGCAGTGATCAACTGTTTTCATAGTCAGTGGTTTTCAGAAGTGTTTCTGAGCCCATGCAGTGATTTCCACTACAGAATCATGTCTGTTTTTAATGCAGTGCTGTCTGAGGGCCCAAAGATCACGGCCAGCAAATACTGGTTTTTGGCCTTGTCCCTTACATACAGAGATTTCTCCAGATTCTCTGAATCTTTTAATGTTATTATGTACCGTAGATGATGAAAAGCAGAAGTTCTTTGCTATTTTATGTTGAGAAATATTATTTTTGAATTTTTGCACGATACAAAGTAGTGAACTCCTCCTAATCTTTACTTCTGAGAGACTCTTTTTATACTCGGTCATGTTACTGACCTGTCGCCAATTAACCACCAGGTGTTTTTTTTAGCATAATACAACTTTACCAGACTTTTGTTGCTCCTGTGCCAACTTTTTTGGAACGTGTTGTCAGCATCAAATTCAAAATGGGCAAATATTTTTCAAAAAACAATAAAATTTCTCAGTTTCAACATTTGATTTATTGTCTTTGTACTATTTTCAATGAAATATTGGGTTTAAATGATTCACATATCATTGCATTGCATATCATTGCAATGGTGTTGTATAATTAATCTTTTGACAGCCCTGTTGCAGATGTTTTTCTTAAATTCCTAGAACTCCTTAGGCCTTCGTGGAAGGTATATAAGACCCTGAGGGTTCTTGTAATAAATAGGCAGGCTTGATCAACAATACATGCCTTTGTTTGCCGTAAGTGATGTCATGACATCATTGATCTTGTCCTACTGATTACCATTCCAGCACAAACAGCTGCTGCTTACGATTTGGTGACGTGACAATTTCACAAATTTATGAGCTTATGTGGGCGTCCAAAAGGACCGCAAGACCTGACCATGTAAAATTTTAGCTGATGATTTTAATCTCTTGTTTTGCAGGAAGCGCCGGGACTCCGGTTTCCTTCAACCAGAACGGAGACGCACCGGGGCGCTACGACATCTTCCAGTATCAGATAACCAACAGATCCACGGCGGAGTACAAAGTGATCGGCACCTGGACAAACAAACTGCACCTAAACGTGAGTGAGGAGACGTCATCGCCCACATCTGCACTCACAGCAGCGTGCTGGTTTAATTTATTCAGCGTTTGATTTGTTTTGGAGCGGCTGTTGTGCACGGCGCTCCCGCTCAAGTGCTGTTTGCAATTTGTTCGATATCCAATTGGTGTGTAAACGCCTGGTGCTTGTAGTTCTGCGAGATCCACCTTTCGCTGCGATCCGATGGGAATACGCGCGGGCCTTCGTTAGACGCGGGATGAAAGATGATGAGGCTAATAGAAGCGTGATGCTCTATGCCCAGCTGCAAAACTCAACTAATGGATTTCAAAATGAGGATGATTTTTGGCCAAAAACCTCTTTCAGCAGTGAAAAAGAGCAACGCAAAGCACCCGTGCAGCGTTCCCTTCAGCTCAGAGCCACTGTTTCAGTGAGCTGTGGATTTATCCAGGGAGGAAAAGCAGCCACTCATTGTGAACATAATGCAATAAGCTCTTTGCTGGAGATTGCAGATCAGTCCTGGAGATGGCTCTGAGTGCAGTTCACCTGCTTACCTGCTGGGAATGATGCTACACTGCAAAAAGTTATATCTTAGCAAGTGAAAACGTCTTAAATGTAGTTAATACATCTAATATTTCTCATTATGAGACTGTTGTATGAATACTGTAAGACTATTTTACTTATTTCTAGACATTTTTACTTATTTTAAGTAATCATATTTAGTGAAAGTGTCTTATTCCATTGGCACGTCATTTTACTTGTTTTGAGCATAAGCGCTAGTTTACAAACATTATAAGATTATTCCACCTGTTTCTGTACTTTTTACTTGTTCCAAGTAATTTTTTCTAGAAAGTGTTTTATTTCATTGGTAGATAATTTTACTTGTTTTGAGAAACAGTGATCAATTTCCAGATAAACTTCATTAATCATTTTTGATCCAGCTCTTAACATGGAAGATCACTTCAGATTGCTAAAATTTGTCAGATGAGGCATTTTGGGGTTAAAATTGGGCTAAAAATCATGTAGTGTAGGCTTTAGAGTCAATATGATAAACCGAGTTATCATAATTAACTACACAAAATAATGCATTTAACAGTCAATTTATTTGCATGTATTGTTCAAACACATGTATAAGTGATGATATTTTGCATTACACAGCAGTTGTTTATATGCAACATAATGCAACATTATTTATTTTGCCTTCTGATCTGTGAACTCACTTGACCAGTTACTACCAAAAACACATTTAGGACTTTTAACTGATCTAAGACTTAAGACTAAATCCCTTTTGCTCTAAGTGACCCTATCCCTGAATTAAGTTTTATTAAAACTAATGATTAAACATTCCATTTGGTCTCTACCAAAACAATCGTAACTCTATCAAACTGTACCAAATGTGTCAGTAGTGACTGTTTCAGTAGTGTCTGTTTCAGTAGTGACTGTGTCAGTAGTGACTGTTTCAGTGACAATTTTAGCTCATTTTGAGCTCAGAAACTCAGCAGTTCATGACCAGCAAACACAGCTTTGAACAGCTGTTCACACAGAAAATCATTATATTTTACATTAAAACACTAAAAAGTGCTGAACTGCAGAAAATATGACGATTCTTAATGTTCCACACTGATTTTCAGACTTTGGGACAGATTTACTTCAAAACAATGGGATCTAACTGCTCACCATGCACCATGTGGCCATGAGGGACAGGGATGCAGCCTCACTTCCTGCTCTAAAATGCAGGGGTGTGGCTAAAATAAGTCTCCACCCACAGACCAAAATTAAAATTAAATTTAAATTAAATCTAACTAAAATTCTGTGCCTTAATAGTGACATGAAAATCAGACATTTTGTAGAATAGCTTTTTTATTTAAAAAATTAACTCATGATAAATCTAAATCTTTCAACTTAACGTTAAAAGAAACAGAAAAAAAACCTGAATACAAAAAATGAAGTATTATTTGGCCAAGTGTAAGTTTAGGGGTTAGGGTTTGGGACAGACTCCTCTCAATAGAAAGTTCCCTATAAATTATGAGTTTGTAGATATAGTAGGATTTACCACTATTAAGGAGGAGACAAACACCTAATACTCAAGTTGTGCTTTATTAAAGGCTGTAGTCGACCACAGCCACAGCACTCAACAAGCAAGGCTTTAGGCCAAATGTTAAGAAGAGCCATTTTGTCCTTTTAGCAAAAATAATACCACCTCAGGAGCCACAGCAATCTATTTCAGCATCTTGGCTGTAAATATGTCTCAGTATCTTTTCCTCAAAAGAAGAACAGTTTTTTCTAAAATGTCTCTCAACATTCGTTTTTTTACGAGGCTGAAGTCGCGTCTCATTCTCCAGCTTCTAGTTTGAAATTTCCGATTCCACCTTAAATGGTGTCTGACGTGCCAGAATGTAACTGCTGCACCATTTAAGGTGGAACGGGAGAATTTGAAAGAGAAGCTGGCCAATGAGAAACTGACTACAGCTTTGTGACTTTTCAGTGTTTGTCAGTTTGTCGCTGCAGATTAAACATATTAGGAAACCAGCTGGAGTGATTATAAACACAAATAAGTCCATTCATCTCTAAATTATCAACGTTGATCTTAAATCTCTCTCTTTGCCGTGTCGTTAGCTACTAGCTAGGCGAGATTGTTGTCTGTGTTGCTATGGTGACCAGCAGTCTGTGCTGATCTTCAGGGTTAAAGGGTGAATTAGCAGTTCTACATTAACTCCAGAGTTTAAGACCATTTATTGTTAAACTGTGTTGAACGATCAGCAGAGCTTTATTTTACTGTAAAGGAAGATTATTTTATTTTTACCTACTAATCTAATTCAGCTGTGGAGCCACAACAGAGCAATAAAAGAACCGCATGTTGCCGATGCCTGCTTTAGGCTAACAGTTCACTCTAGCATTAGCTCACATCTGCACTCTCTCGCTTCCAGTGCTGACTGACACAGTTCTTCCTGTTGTAACGCATAAACACAGCGAAGGAAGGCTGGCTCCGACTTCACAATAAGAGTCTTTGTCAGAATAAACCCAGAATTAACACTGAGAACATTACTCAAACATATTTAGCTTATTACTACCTGTATTAATGCATTAGGTTTAAATAGATCATAACATAAATATCTAAGGCTTAAAACATTATTTCTTGTATGCCAGTAGCAGAAAAACATAACATGGCGTCCCATAGAAAGCTGTTAACTTTAAAGAACCACAGTTTGTTTTATTGTCTTTGTCAAGGTTCTGTTTTGTCTTTTCCTGAGTAAGAATTCATTCTCAAATGTGACGACCACAGCAGAAAAATCACATGACTGAAACTCAGGGATTCATCAGGGACGTTTCACAGGCAGAAACAACTTGGAACATTAAAATGGTGTAAAAATGTGAAACCTGCTCATTGGCTTTTAGTTCAGGCGAAAGGCGACTTGTCATATGATGGATTATTTAAAGGTTTGGCACATTCGCTAATATGCCAGTGCGGCCTCACTTGATCAGTCGCATTAAACTGCTGTTCATTTGAAAGTGTTTCTTTTCCCAACACTAATGAAAACACATCTATTCTCAGCCAGCATAATTTGCCAGCACAATATTAATAATTCATATGTTGCCGTCACCATTCCAGACAAATCTGATTGTCTGTAATAAGAGCTTTCACCTCTTAATTGCACATACATGTCAAACTAAATTCTTACTTGAAGGGGAACTCCACCAATTTTTAAAACCTTCTACATAACTCAGTGTGTGAGATGTAAACAGAGTGATTCAGAGTGGTTTGGTGTGAAATGGTTCAGATGTTTTTACAGTGGTGGTGATAGGAACCAGGGGTCGCCATGACTACAACACAAATATAGACATTTTATTTACTATCCAGAACCACCAGTGAACCTACACGAGTCTTCTGAGTCTATATGGAATGTTGATGATGGAAAATAGTGGAAAATCTGAAATAATAAGTTCTCTTTGGGGACTATTTGGGAACTGTGTACCTCTCCACCACAACTGGATTTATAAAATATCTTTTAAGACCAAAACTTTCTCAAAACTATCTCAAACATTAGGCAGTGAATTCATAATCATTTCATGTTATGACTTTCCGTGAGGGAGCTTTTAGAGGTGGATGTCTGCTCTTCTTCTCTTCTGGAGTTCAATAAATACTAGGGATGCACTGAAATGTCATTTTTTGACCAAAACTGAAAATTAGGACACATAAAACAAAGGAAGAGTTATTTTATTTACAATTTGCTGTTTTAAATATGTTTTTAAATTAACAGTGTTGACAATGTTTAAAGGTGATGATCACCTTGGTAGGAAAGAGAACTGGGAGAACTCGATTATTTAATTTTAAACAGCTGGCTAAAAAATATGAAATAATAAAAGTTGTAAAATAACAAACTATGGAATTAGCATGGTAATTCCATCTAGAAATCTGAAGTTTCTCCTACAGGGGGCGCTCATAGCCCACAAGTTGTTTTAGCGTTTGTCATTTAGAGAAGGAACAGCCACGAACCCACACCAGCAGGATCTAACGGATGCATGTGTTTGTGCTTTCAAAACTAGAGGTTAAAAAGTTTATTACTGTAAGAAATTGATTTACTCAGTGTTATTTTTGTGATTTCCATTAAAAATGTTTTTGGGGGACTATTTCGCCCATTACCTCTCCAGCATGAATGAACAGAGGTGGACGTCTGGTTCCTATCACCACCACTGCCCACAATTCTGCCTTCAGAACAGAGCGTTTCACACCAAACCAGTCTGAATGACTCTGTTTCCATCTTAACTGTTAAATCATGCAGAAATGTAGAAAAGTCAAATCCCTGTGTGCCTGTGTGCAGGTGGACAGCATGCGTTGGCGGACGGGTGACCCCACACTGCCCGTGTCTGTGTGCAGCGTACCTTGTCAGACAGGTGAGAGGAAGAAGATTGTGAAGGGCGTGCCGTGCTGCTGGCACTGTGAGCGCTGCGAGGGCTACCACTACCAGGCCAGCGAGTTCAGCTGCGAGTTGTGCCCCTACGAGCAGCGCCCTGACCGCAACCGTACCGGCTGCCAGCCCATCCCCATCATCAAGCTGGAGTGGCACTCACCCTGGGCCGCCGTGCCGGTCTTCGTCTCCGTGCTGGGCATCCTGGCCACGAGCTTCGTGGTGGTCACCTTCGTGCGCTACAACGACACTCCCATCGTGCGGGCGTCTGGCCGGGAGATGAGCTACGTGCTGCTGACGGGCATCTTCCTGTGCTACGCCATCACGTTCCTGATGATCGCCACTCCCAGCCTGGCCGTCTGCTCCTTCCGCCGCGTCTTCCTGGGCCTGGGCATGTGCTTCAGCTACGCAGCGCTGCTCACCAAGACCAACCGCATCCACCGCATCTTCGAGCAGGGCAAGAAGTCTGTGGCGGCGCCACGGTTCATCAGCCCCGCCTCACAGCTGGCCATCACCTTCAGTCTGATCTCCGTGCAGCTGCTGGGCGTGTTTGTGTGGTTTGCCGTGGACCCGCCGCACACGGTGGTGGACTACGGCGAGCAGCGCACCTCCGACCCGGACAAGGCCCGCGGCGTGCTCAAGTGCGACATCTCGGACCTTTCGCTCATCTGCTCGCTGGGCTACAGCATCCTCTTGATGGTCACATGCACTGTTTACGCCATCAAGACTCGAGGCGTGCCAGAGACCTTCAACGAGGCCAAGCCCATTGGATTTACTATGTACACTACCTGCATCATTTGGTTAGCTTTTATACCCATCTTCTTCGGCACGGCGCAGTCTGCAGAGAGGGTGAGTCGTTTTTCGGGCTTTACTTATTTCACTGCTCACTTTTCCTCCGATAGTGATTTGGGAACCGATATGGAGACCGAGGGATGATAGTTTTCGTGTACATGTCTGCCTATGAAGATACATAAATATTTATTAAATCAGAGAAACTGCTGAGTTGCATGATGATATTGGGGTCCTATCAATACTGGCAGAAGTTTAAATAAAAACATCGGCATGTTTAGATTTGACTGATATTTCAAGCTGATATTTTGATTATTTTATGATCATGAAATTTTAGCTGACAATTAATTGGCATAAAAATAATTGCAAATTACAGTTAATTGTCTTTTCATGTTCTTTGTATGTGACTATTTTTGGCCTAAAGTGGCCAAACTGGAAATTTGACCTGCTAACACTGGATGATACACTACTCTGACTCAACATAACAAATGTTATACATTCACTGATTTAATTGTAGTCAAAGCTTATATTTTTTATCAAGAAAAAAAAATAGCAAAAAAGCACTTATTCTGCTAGCATACATGCTAAAAACATCAGAATTAACTACATAGCTAACAATTAAACTCGTGATATGTCTTTATGAAATAATTTACTGCTACAGAATGATTGCAGTCGGCTTGAATAATTGTGCTCGTCTTAAATAATTGCAATTAGGCGATTAAGTATTAACAGACCTAGAGCAGAATGTTGAGGCGATGCTGGGTTACTGTACTAAGATATCTGAGTTTTATTCATTGTACTGCATTTCTTACTGTACAGAGATATATGTTGAATCTTTCTGTCATTCTAATATCAATTTAGTAGGTTGCATATTTAAACGGTTATGTATCGATATCTGCAGATACATGAAAGTATCAGATATTGGCATTGGCCTGCATCTATATTGGTGCATCCCTAGTATGGGACTGACTTCACCTGTACAACATTACAGAGAAGTGTTATTTACAAATGCGGTAAAAAGAATAAAGTGCAGATATTTTAGTTCAGTCTCCTAAATATTCTGCTCCTCTGGAGTTTAGTAAAAACTAAGGATGCACCAAACACTGAAATTAAGGACACACTGCTGAAAAAAACAAAAACAGAAAAGCAAAAGAAAGGACTCTTTTATATATAATGCGCCATTTTACTTTTGCTTTTGGAATAACAAAATGATTCTGACGATGCTGCAGTAGCAGTGAGGAAATAGGAAATAGTGGCCATGTTGGAAAAAAGAACTGAGAGAACTGGAGGACTAATTTAACTCCAGACAGTTTGCTAATTAATATGAAATATTAAAAGTTGTAAAATTATTAAAATGTAATAATAATTATGCAAAGTGTGCAGATGAGGCTTTGAAACTCCCGTCTAGCAGTTTGAATTTTCTCCAGCAGTGCACGTTTTAGTGTTCGTCATTTAGAGAAGAAACAGCCGTGAACCCACACCAGCAGGATGTAACCAGCACATGTTTACAACAACAACTTTCAAAACCTTAAAAGAGTTTAAAGGGTTTGTTGCCAAAAGATATTGAGTTATTCAGTGTTATTTATGTGTTTTCCATTAATGAATTTCATTAAATCAGTTAACGCTAAAATGCACGTAAATTAAAGAGGGAACAAACAGTTTTTTTAATCACTTTTTTATTTTCAGTATCATTCAAATTACTTGTCAAATGTTAGATTTTAACACTTCATTGTGTCTTCAACCTTATGAAGTCTTTGCTCATCTGTCACCAGTTTAATCTTTTGTTTTTTTGGCCAAAATGTGTGTTTTTTCCTCCTTTGGCCAAAAAACAAAATTGCCACTTTTGGCCATTTTTGACCAAAAAATTTCAGTGGCCAAATTTTTGTTGCATCCCTAATAAAACAGTTTTAAATATTGGCCAAATTGTAACACCTGATACTGATTTTTCTTTTTAAGAAAATATCTGCTGATACCATCTGAAATCATTGTGCACAGCTATTGATTTCATTGGTGATAACAATATCAGGCATTTATATATGTGCTTGTGCACTTCTGTATCTGATCCACTCGCACCAGCGCAACACACACTAACATGCCACCACCACGTCAGCGTTACTGCAGTGCTGAGAATGATCCACCACCCAAATAGTACCTGCTCTGTGAGGGTCCATGGGGGTCCTGACCACTGAAGAACAGGGTAAAAGAGGGCTAACAAAGTATGCAGAGAAACAGATGGACTACAGTCTGTAACTGTAGAACTACAAAGTGCACCTATATAGTAAGTGGAGCTGATAAAATGGACAGTGAGTGTAAAAACAAGGAAATGTACCTAATAAAGTGATCAGTGAGTGTATAGGCATGAGCAAAGCTGAAGGTAACGATCTCTCCACCTGGTTAAACCCAGTAAAGAGAGAAATCCCGAAGGCTGGAAGGCTCAGAACGTCAATGCTGTCCTTCCAGCCTTTCATTATGGACGATATTCACTGCAGGTGCGTTCAGAATCCAGGTGTTCAGGCTTGAGTGGATCAGGAAGAGATGATAGTGGACACAAAAAACTTCAGCCAAGCGTCTCAAATCTCATTTTACAAAGTTTGTGGCTGGTTTTGTGTTTGACGTGTGCAAAACATCCGGCGAAGTCAACAGATCTGCCGTCTGTTTTTCCTCCACACTGTTACGTAAAACCTCATTAGGTCTTCGCTCTTCAGTCACCTCATTAGCTGCTCACTGTGACTATTTCACCGTACGCTGGCTGATAGAGACACTTATGGATATACCAATTACTCCGTAAACCAACACTCTGCTATGTTTTTTATTTACTGCTAGCGCCGTAAAGTGATTAGCGCTCTGTAGACTCTGCCTCCCATTGTCTGCTGTCATTACTGCACGAAATGAGAAAATGACTGCATGAATCATTTGATAAGCACGACGAGGCTGGAGAGGATCCTTATTGCTTAAAAATGAGAACCTTTCTGGAGCTCCGCTGAAGGAAGACATTGCATTAACATGTGTATTACATGTTTAGAGGACAGACAGGGAACTAATTGAGTGAATGAATGAGTTAAATAATTAATTTAAGATTCCTCCCATAACTGGGCTGTTAATAAAAGAGGAGCAATTATTTTGTATGTTTTGCATTAAGCTGCACTAAAATCTGCAGTTCATGTCACCTTCTGAAACAGGTTTGGAAAGCAGGACACTAGCATTGCTGCTGCTGAGTACTGATTAGCATTATTGCTACTGATTGGTTATTATTACTGCTACTGAGCACTGATTGGTTATTATTACTGCTACTGAGCACTGATTGGTTATCATTACTGCTACTGAGTGCTTTATTGTTTAGCATTACTGCTACTGAGTGCTGACTGGTTAACATTACTGCTACTGAGTGCTTTATTGTTTAGCATTACTGCTACTGAATGCTGACTGGTTAGCATTACTGCTACTGAGTGCTTTATTGTTTAGCATTACTGCTACTGAATGCTGACTGGTTAACATTACTGCTACTGAGTGCTGACTGGTTAACATTACTGCTACTGAGTGCTTTATTGTTTAGCATTACTGCTACTGAGCACTGACTGGTTAGCATTACTGCTACTGAATGCTGACTGGTTAACATTACTGCTACTGACATGTACTGACATGGCAGGGCATTAAGACAAGCTGCAGTTGTATTGACTGATTGCACTCAACACATGATGCTAGTTTTAACCAATCCCATACGGCTGTGGGCGGGGCATTGATAAAGGCTAGGAAGTTGTTGATTTGTTACATTCAACATGTCAACAGTTATTTTGACCAATCCAGTAAGGCTGTGGGCGGGGCATTAAGACAGGATACAGATGTGTGGATTGGTTGTACTTGACACGTCAGACTTTTGACCAATCCATTAAGGCTGTGGGCGGGGCATCGATACTGACTATAAGTGTGTTAATTGAATGCACTTGACACTTTCTACTTTTGACCAATGGGTGAGACATTAAAACAGGAAACACATGTGCTGATTGGTTGCCCTCAACATGATATGACCATTTTAAACAATCCAGTAGGGCCATTGGTGAGGCATTGAGCCACTTGTGTTTCTTTCAGTCGTGGTCGCATTAGAAACACATATTAATCTTACAAAATCATTTTTATCATCAAGGAAGCAAATTAAAACTGTAATATTGGGAAAATGAAATATGTGGTCTCTGATTATCGATTGGCCTGATAATCGACCGACCTCTAAGCGGCTGCTTTTTTGATAATCGAGCAAACGCTCTTGTCCAGTGTACGCGAAACAGTCCAGTTCCTGTTACTGAATGAATACAGATGTCCATGTAAATTGCTATAATATGCGCTGCGCCACAGATGGATGCACTTCCACATTTCCAGAGAACAGTGCGATGATGATGGCTGAATTAAGCTCTACATGATTACTGGCTCTTGTCATAGCATCATCTTAGGTAATCAATGCCTTCCAAAAAGGGCACCATTAAACATTGGTGGAGTCTAATAACTCCATACAAATTGCCGGCAGATCTCAGCGGGGGCTCGTAACTCATAATATCTCATCTCGGCGGACTCAGCCTTTGTTCCTCTCCAAATGTGTTAAATGAATGACAAATTCATACTAAATTGGTATTCTTACACTGCCTGATTTCTAAAGCCAAGGTCACATTTTGGGAAAGAAACCGATCTAGTTGTGAGTCTTTGTTTGCTGATCCTGGTGGGAACCCTCAGTGGGATACTTTGCATAATTGTAAATGATAGGACTGGGGAGATTTGCCTCCGCGTGGTGTCGGGGAAAGCGAGGACGCGCAGGTTTAAGGTGGCTGAGTGTCAGCAATTAGACTCACGCTGAGGCCCGAGGATGAGGAGATGAGTGGGTTGGTATTATTATAGTGTTGTGCTTTCAGATACTCAATAACAAACATTTTCAGTCACCTCCATCTGAAATGAGTATCTTCACGCTTTAAAAAAGATGGTTCTTCAAGGGTTCTTTAGTAAAGGCAAACATGAGTTCTATATAGATCAGTGTGCATGCCTAAAGGGTTCTTTGCATGATGGAATCGTTCTTCAGA